ACCCAGAACCTGGTGACTCTGGTTTGAGAGAGTTTGGAGCTGAGGGTGCCGGGGAGGCCAGAACTTGGGGGGCAGAGTGTGTAGAGGAGGGCAGCTCTCATTGTGTAGCTGGGTGCTGATTAGCCACTGGTGTGGGCAGGAGACCATTAAGGTGAGGAAAGGGTCCCCAGAAAGGAGCGGGTCCAAGCTCAAGGGGCCCAGGAATAGTGTGTGTTCCCGCCGGCCAGAATGGAAGGGCGCTGACGGGCCACGAGTAGGGTCCTCGGAAGGGTGTGGCCTCAGGCGTGGCACCAAATTAGCCTAAACCAAAGGCTAGTCTCAGCCCACTTAACAAAGCTTAAAAGCAAGCCTCAGAGGATAACTTTTTGGTAAACTCAACAGAAGTGCGGAGTAACTTGCATGCAGGGAGGTGGGCTACGGGACCCCCACTCCCTTGAAATGATGGAGTCACTGACATTCAAAACACATGGTGTTTTAGAGTCTCTCAGATGCGCCCTGAACATCTGCTCAATCCTGCAGCTTTAAAAATCACATCATGGGGGCGCCTGGGTGGCTCAGTCATTAAATGTGGGCCTTCGGCTCAGGTCATGATATCAGGGTCCTGGGATCGAGACCTGCATTGGACTCCCTGCTTAGCGCAGGGTCTGTTTGTCCCTCTCCCTCCGCCCTTACCCCTACTGGTGCTCTCTCTGTGTCTCCCTCAAATAAATAAATAAATAAAATCTTAAAAAACAAAATCACACGGTGAACCTGTGTCCACACAAAAACCTGCACATGGATGTTTATAGCAGCTTTTATTCATAATTGCCAAAAAACGTTGGAGGCAACCAAGTTGTCCTTCAGTATGGGGATGGATATATCAAATGGTGGCCCATCCAGACAATGGAATATCATTGGGTGCTAAAAAGAAATGAGCTGTCAAGCCATGAAAAGATACAGAGCAATCTTAAATGCATATTGCTAAGAGAAAGAAGCTGATCTGAAAAGATGCATACTGTAGGATTCTAGCTATACGAACTTCTGGAAAAGAATGTCTCTCTATGGAGACAGTAAAAGGATCAGTGGTGTCAGGAGTTGTGGGGGATGAATAGGTAGAGCACAGAAGATTTTTAGGACATCAAAAATCTCACCTACTAACGTATGAGAACTCTGTACTTTCTGTTCAATTTTGCTGTGAGCCCAAAACGGCTCTAAAAAAATAAATCCTATTAGAAAAAAAAATCACCTGGGATGATACTCAAATCCAAAATCTGTCCAAAGCCTAAAGCTTCAGTACATGTTTCAGCGATCCGAATTTTTCAGATTTTAGAAAGGTAACGTTTCCATCCTGGGTACCATGGGGCCACATGGAACAGCGCCTGCTAATCAAACACATGTATCTTTCTGCAGCAAACTGAGGACTCTTCACACTTCCATAAACTTCCATAATGTAAGGATCTTAAGCAGCCTCATGTCTGTTCAGGTTGGGGTTTGCTGCCAAATGAATAACAATCAAAAATCGTTTAGTTTCCTAAACTCACTAAAGATTTGGGCTCTGATGAGCTTCCTGGGTGGGTGGGGAAGCACCCCGGGCCACCGTCCCTGCAGGCCCCACGCGTGCCCAGGCTGGAGGGGCTCAGAGCTGCTGAGTCATTCTCTTGTCTACGGGAGGAACACTTTGCAACCCCAGGAAGACTTAGAATTTAGTGAAGAATGGTTGAAGAGAGACCCCCGGAATTGACATATTTGTGTTAAGCAATCTGGGAAATGTTGGTATTTTGTCTCCTGGTAACATCCCAACCCACTTCCCATTTATAACCAGCTGGAGGACAAAGAACAGCTGTGGGTCGGTTGGCAACATGGTGCTGCTAGCATGTTAGCTAGCCCCCCATAGCCCCCCACAGCCCCCCACAGCCCCCTAGGAGCCTGCTTAGTGGGAGACATGCTGCTAGCTGCTTTTTTAAAATCAGGCAAAGAACACCAATGTCTTCCTCTCGCTGGGGCGTGACCATGCCGTCCCGTGTCACCGTGAGCAACTTCAAGAGCACAGTTCAGAGTCAGGATGATGTCAGCGGTCGTGCCTCAGGCTCCCTGCCGCCCCCGTGCGGAGAGGGACGTGCTGGGGGTCGGGGGGCCGGCCCTGAACCCATAGCGTGCACACATACATAGACCGCTTCTCGTGTGCGGTTGTTTTAGGGACCACAGGAGAAGTTGTCACGGTTAGAGTTCTGGTTGAAGATGCGTCATCTGCCCGAGAGCAGGAATCCAAGAGCTGGTGCTGCCGGCCCTTCTAGAAGCCTGTGCTGGGCGGGGGATTCGGGGCTGGCCCTAACCCCAGCCCTAAAGTCCAGTGTGCAGCCTCGGGCCCCTGGGCAGATGCAGACGCTGACTCCGGGTCTCGAGGTTGGCCTGAGGCTCTGCGTCTCTGACTCGCTCCGCGGGGCACGCTCAGCCATGAGACTCCCAAGCGCGCCTGCTTCCAGAATGTCCGGTTCTCCCCAGAGCCCTGGCATCTAGTAGCCATTCCAGAAAGGCCAAACCAGAGAGGAGTTGGGCAGCCGCTTCGGCTCCACACCAGGCCTCGGAGGGAAGAGGGGAGGAGGGACCCAGGGAGCGCAGAGCGTGGCGGAAGATAGACCCAAACGAATCCGGGGCCGGGCCAGCTGGGCCGGGGCTGCTGGGGGAACAGAATCTCTAACAGTTGTGGCCAGGGGGGCCCTGATCGGCACCCACAGTTCATTAACACGCGGCGGGCTCGGGACTCAGGATGTCCGGATTGCTGCCTCTTCAAAGTGACCATGCAAAGCACAGGCGCTGTGTCGTATTTATTCCCCTGGGGTCCACATCACTCAGGCTGACGTCGTGGGAGGTCTGGGGGTTTGTGGGGAATGTGCACCCCTTGCCCAGGCTCCTTCACGTTCTGTAAGGAGGCAGCCGGCCACAGGCATTGGAACTTTCAAGCATCCATCCGTATCTGTGTGACGTGTCCGGGGCCTCCCTGTATGGCCAGAAAGCAGAGGCCAATTTGAGGAAAGGGGAGTGGGGGGAGGTGGCCAGGAACTGAAACGATCCCCAGCAGAAAGCTTCACCTGTAGCTTTCAAGACAGGGATGGGTGCCGCCTGCACCCTGAAACGCTTATAAACTTGAGGCCCTTCCCAGAAGCTTCCCCTGGGACATTTCACCTTCTCTGCTCCCCAAGTGCCAGCCAGTCCCTGTATGGTCAGCGGTCCTCTGTAATGGATGGGGGGAGCACTAGCCCTTGAAGACGATCCCAAAGGGGAGGCTCTTGAAGGGCCTGGAACGTGGGCCTTGAAGGTCCCCCCACGGTGCCATTAGGAGACCGGCTTGAGTGTGCGCCAAGGCTGTTGCATGTTTCCTTTGCTGCTGTAACACATTTCCACAAACGTAGTGGCTTACAACCCAAACTGACTCTCTTACAGTTCTGAGGCCAGAAAGCAAAGATGGATCTCACTGACCCAAATCAAGGTGCTGGCCAGGCGGTGCTCCCTCTGGAGGCCCTAGGGCAGGATCCTTTTCCTGCTGTATGTTTATGGAACGGGGCTTCCAGACAGGGGAGAGGTCATGACGTTTTTATGGACTGACAGCCCCTGACATGACGGTGGTTATTTCTCATTTATCCATTCAAGGATTTCCCACGGTGGCAAAGAAGGGCAGGGAGGCCCAGAGAGGGGAAGTCACCTGCTCCGGGTCACAGTAAGTGTTGGACATGGGCTTCCGGCTCAGCCGGTCCTTCTCTGGAACGCATGCTCCCAGGCACCCACCATGCCCCCTCTCACGTATGGCCCAGCTGTCCCCTGGACCTCGGAACAGGGAGGTGTGTGCCGGACCAGCTGGGCGCTTGGGCCGTGAGGGGGACACAGGTTCAGAGGGTGTCGCGGGCCTGCCTCTCGTCCGCACAGCACGCTCGGTCCCCTCTGGACTGCGGGCAGCACAGCCGTCGTCTGCTCACACCACTGACACCGCACATGGGAAGGACCCGGCTCAACCTGGAAACCATCGTCCCCCCTCTCATGCCCGGACGCTTGCCCGGCTGCTGCGTGCCCCTGGGCCCTCGTCGGTGAGCACCGCAGTCCGTAGCCTGCCTAGTCATTTCAGCGTCTGTGGAGGGAGCCAGAGAAGGTGCTTTCTGTACGTCAGGAAACGTCTTCACTGTCATCAGCAACAGCGATCCGACCCTGTGTCCCCGGAAAGGAAGAAGTGCCCGTCGGCCCTGTTCCTTCCCGGCTGCATGTAGGGGCATGGGGCCTCCCCCACGCACCCACCTACTGCTTAGGGATGGAAGCGTCCAGAAGCAAACTTCTCCAAATGATGGCTAAGTACCGGCCCACACCTTCCCTGGAAATTCCACCCAAAATATGGCTCAAAGCCCTAGGAAGGACTTGGTGTGTATGGTCTGTCAGCTAAATGGCAGGTTTTTGTTTTGCTGCTAAGTGAAAGAATTTTCCTTTTTTTTTTTTAAGATTTTATTTATTTATTTGTTTGTTTTATGTATTTATTGACAGAGTGCACACAAGAGAGAACAGGAGTGGGGGGAGGGGCTGAGCAGGGAGCCCGATGCGGGGCTCAATCCCAAGACCCCGGGATCATGACCTGAGCCAAAGGCAGATGCTCAACCCACTGAGCCACCCAGGCGCCCCAGGAACTTTTCTTTTTTGTTTATTGTTGCAAGACATTTATTAATAACAAGGGATAATCAGCCATGGTATTACATTCTAACATAAATTCAGATGCTTGTGTTTTTCAAAGCTCACAGTATCCTGGGAAAGAAGACCAGGAAACCAACAAAGGCTAAGGCATCGTGGGGATGGCAGCTAGTCTGCTCACATTCCCTAGCCAAACGTGCACCCAGGGCAGTGAAAACTGTGTAATTATAAAACCCAATTTCTGTTCTCTGATAAAAAGGAAACACTTTTTGGTTTCACGGACCAGTTGGTCTGTTCAGACTTTTTTCTGAACAGTTGTCCTGTGCTCAACTCCGGTTTTTGTCTCCCCCCACATGGCCCAAGATAAACCTAAGAACCCAGGAGGCCTTTTGCCCACAGGTTCTGCTGCTCGTTAGATGGGAGGACAACGGCTTCTTTCCAGCTCCAAGCTGACTCACTGGAAGGCAGAGTGGAAGACGGGTGACAAATCAGCACTGTTGTGGGCTCCTGCCTGCTCACGGTGACAAGTGCGTCTCGGTGGCGGGCCAGGCCTCACACCGCGCTCAGCGGGTTGGCCACACGGCCCAGGAAGTGGAGGGCCGTGGAGTCTTGCTCATAAATGGCAAATAGGAACGGGCGGTTCAGGGTCACCTCCAAGGCCTTGGGCCCATCCGGCTGCGGGGCAGACTCTGTGGGTTGCTCTCCCTTGTCTGCTTTTAGTTCCAAAAAGATGCTGTTCAGCACCTGCAAAGCAGCAAGCGTTGGGGTGGCTCCCGAAGGCCCTCGGGGCCCATGGAGACGGTGCAGGACAGCGGTTTTTCCAGCCTGCCCGCAGCATGCATGCCCCTCAGTGTAGACGACTCCCACTTGGCCCAACTCACATGATACCTCCTCCCAAAGAGTCCCTTCAACCCACCGGTCTCCACTTCCCACCTTGCCATCCAGGGAAGCACCCCAGGCCCCTCGGCTGTGCTCCACCAGTGCTTGGTTCATCCCACTAATTTAGCAAGAGGGCTCACGCCCCCCAGCAGTGATCTCCGAGGCCAGAACTGTGAAGGGCCCCCCTCTGCCCAGTACCCAGCACAGTGCCCAGCGCATCCAGCCCCCCCGCCCCGGCTGCAGGGGTGCCTCATTCCACGTGGCAGAGGGACCGTCTGCCTACTGCTGAGTGTTCCCTGAAGCAGGCAGCTCTCTGGCACCAGGCACTTGCTCTGCTCTCACAGTCTGAGTCCTGACCCTGCTGTTGGATCTGGGAAGGACCCCGAGGCTAGGGCAGGCTGGGCAGAGCCAAGAACACATGGTGAGGAAGGGTTTCCAGCTCCCCACCTGTCCCCGGAAAGCTCCAGAAAGTTCTGGTCACTTCTTTCCCACCTTGGGTGCACACCCACCTAGCCATGCTCTCCTCCTCTCTTCCCCTGCCTGCCTCCCAGAAGCTCCCTCCGTGTCCCTCCGGTCTACACCTCCCACCCTGTGAACACACGGCATCTACTCGGGCCCAGACAGACACCGCCGGCACGGTACCTTTCCGAGTCTGAGATTGTCATCACTGATTTTGCCCAGGTTCGCCTCGGCACCCAGCAGGGTGGGCAGCTTGGCCTGAGCAAGCAGGTCCTGCAGGTCGTAGGAGGCTTGCAGTGTCAGCTGGGGCATGGTCAGGTGGATGGCCCTGCGGGGATGACACACACTTAGGAAGGGCCCCGGGTGGCTCCCCCTGTGAGGCCCTGGGGCCCCCTCACCCAGCTAGGCTGTCTCGGGAAAAGTTCGTCAGCAACGAAATACAACAAAAACTTTCATGTCCTTGGAAGTACTGTGAGAAGGATGTACATTGAAAGCAGCGCTCTCTGGGGGTTTGACAATGAATTGTTGCCTGTTCTTCGCTCTACTCTGGTTTTCGGTTGGCTGCATTGAAGCTGTATTACCTGGATAATTGTAAACTGCTCTTCTCTGAAATAATGCATCATGTCTTACTAGCCACCTTTCAATGATGTTCTTGACATAGAAACCCCCGTGGAGGGGAGAGCGATGGGAGGAATATCCCGTCACTCTCCGTGCCGGCCATGTTGCTTACATCAACTCAGTTGACCTTCCTGTAGGACCTCTGCCTTCGTTTGGCTTCCCTGAGAGCCCGTGGATGTTTCCAGTGACATGCCAAACCTTCACAAGAGTTACAGTACACCCATGTCCATAGCAGCATTATTCACAATAGCCAAAAGGTGGAAGTGACCCAAGTGTCCACTGATGGATGACTGGATAAACAGAACACGTCTGTCCACATAATGGAATATTAGCCTTAAGGGGAAGGAAATCCCGACCCATGCTACTGCATGGATGAACCCTGAGGACGTCCTGCTAAGCGAAGTAAGCCCGTCACAGTTCAGTCATCTGAGGTCCTAGAACAGATGGGTTCACAGAGCCCGGAGGTGGAACGGCCGTGGCCAGGGGCTGGGGGAGGGGGAGTGGGGAGTTCGTGGAAGATGACAACCATCTGGAGACAGATGGTGGCGAGGGACGCACACAGCGTGGGTATGCTCCATGCCACTGAACTGTGCGCTTACAGATGGTTCGCGTGGTAAACTTGATGTTAGGTGTTTACCACCAGCGCAACAAAAACTGATTTAAAAAGGAGTGTTGCCCTCAGGAGGCCAGTGTGCCCCTGAGTGCTGGTCTCGGAGCAGGTTTCCGGACCCCGCTGCTCTGGGCCGCGGATGCGGGTCAGGTGTAGCGCCCCAGTGGAGGGGAACGGCTTTCTTCCCGCCATAGTTGGAAAGCCCCTCCCCCAGGCGTCTCAGGGGGTCCAAACCCTTCTGGAAAGCCAGTCCCCAACAAGCTCTTGGAATGCAGCAGATTGTGGGTGGGGGAGGACGGGGGTGGGGGTGGCATCGAAAAGTCCCCCCCCACAACGGCAGATTGAAATGCAGTCCTCCAAAACCAGTGGGTAAGCCCAAGCCCAAGGAAAGCACACTCCCCACTCCTTTGCCTCTCCTGGGCCCAGAAAGAGACGATACCTGCAGAGCTAGGTCCGGGGATGGATGGAGGGTTGACACGTGAACTCACCGGCCTTCTGCTCCAGAACAGCAGGGCCACCCGGCTCCTCCCTGTCCTGTGCCCAGGGCTCGGCCAACACTGGCCCATCTGCCCCCGCCATGTCCCCTCCCGCCCTGGGCAGAAGGATGGGCCCAGCTCCCCACTTCCCAGGGGGAGCAGCCCCAGAGGTGCCAGGTGGTGTCCTGGGACCCGTACCGGGGAGACAGGTTCTTCAGCCACGTCAGGAAGCTGTGCTGGAAGGTGAGGGCCTCCACCTTCTGCAGGCCCAAGGCGTCGTGGGGCTGGACCAGCAGCAGGCAGGCATTCTTGCTGAGGGCCACACGGGTCATGGAGAGGTTGTTCTGGGCGTCGCTCCAGTGCTGGAAGGTGCCTGTGCCCGAGAGCATGGGGACCGACACCGAGGTGGCGTTGTCCAGCCAGAAGTCCTGCGGCCCCGCCAGCAGGGAGAATCCCTTCAGCTTTCCTGGAGACCCAGAGAAGAGAGCAGGAGGGACGGGTCAGCTGAGGCAGGGGCAGCGGGTGGGCTGGGGTCTGGGGACACCACGGACAGAGCCTAAGCCTGGACGGGCAGGTCCCGAAGGCCCAGCCTGTGCCCCGGCCTCCTCTCGGCACAGCCCGGGCCGCTGGGCCAGCGCTCCACCAGCCCGACCCAGGGCCCCAAGGGCCGGCCAAGTCTTCCTCCTGCAGAATCCAGCCGTTTGAGTTCACGACGGTGACACCAGCTGTTGAAGACATTTTCCACACCAGCTGCCGCTCTGAGGTTTTACACCTGTCACCGTAAGGCCCGCAAAGGAAACCAGGGCCTTAGGGAACTTAGGCCACTACGAACTGACCAGGTAAACTCACCCCAGATCTGTCCTGGCCCAAAGCCTGCGGTCCGCCACTCTCACTGGCTTCTTTTTAAATAACTTAATTTTTTTTTAGAGAAGTCAGGCTCACTGCGCAATTTAGAGGAAGGTATAAGGTTTTCCCGTTTACCCACTGCCCCCCACAAGCACAGCCTCCCGTACTATTGACACCCCCACCGGAGTGGGACATCTGTTAACACTGATGACCCTATGCGGACACATCATTGTCCCCGAGTCCAGGGTTGACATTAGGGCCCACTCTCGGGTCCGTACGATCCATGGGGCTGGACAGATGTGCGGTGACATGTGTCCACCATCACAGTGTCACCCAGAGCAGCCTCACGGCCCTACGCAGCCTCACGGCACGCCCACTTCTCATCTGTGAGCAGGGCCAGCTGCGACAGTCCCCCCTTCTCATGTTGGGACGCAGGGCTGAGCACACATGTCCGGCAACGCGGCCTCCACGTCTCAGGCCCCCGTGCGGCCTGGGACAGACATACGACCTGGTGTGACCGGCCGCTCCGTGCAAGCTCGCCCTGGGCCCTGCAGGGAGGGGGGAGCCCTGTCTGGTGCCCTCCCTCCTGGGGCTGCGCGGAGGCTGGCTCCACTGTCATGGGTGGCGGGGCGGATGCCTGCTCGAGGCCCTGTCCCTGGGGGTCTCTCCCTGACTGCAGCCCCTGGCACATTCCCACCCCACCCCGCACTGCGCTCTTCTCAGTCACCTTGAGAGCTTAGTCACCCATGTTGGGGCTATTTCTGGGAGGATGAGGTGAAGGCGAGTCTGTCACAGAGCAGCCCCCGGGTGCCGGCTGGCTGGGGGTCTGAGTAGAGGCAGGTTAAAGAGCCGGGGCTCCCTTTTCCTGGAGCAGAAGTCTCCAAGGTGGCGGGGCAGGGGCTGGAGGGACAGGTGCCTCCAGGAGGGGCGGGGAGGGGGCCGGAGGGGCTGCCTTCCCCGGGCCTGGGTCTGAGCAGAAGGGACTGGTGGACCCAGCGTACTCTTGCTCTTTGACACTCAGAGACCATGGGGAGACAGGAGTAAGAAGCTGCAGGGTCCTTCCTCCCCGGCTCCCTGGGGGGCCCTCAGTGCTGGCCCACCAGGCCTGGCCGGGAGCTTGTTCATTTAGGGGAAGAAAGGTCTGCATCTCTTCCCACCAAAACAGAAAGACATGAGAATCTGAAAGAGGTGTCTGTCCTGCCCTATCTGCTCAGCTGAAAAGCACAGCACACCATCCTCATCTGGAGGTTAAGTAAATCTCTCAAGGTTAAGTCAACTGGTGTTGTGGAAACTGCCAGAGCCAGAGCCAGCACCAGCTCGGGACGACCGCACGGCCTGGGCAAAGGGCGCCCTGCTGCTCGGGGGCTCCCAGCGCCCGGGTCTCCGCCAGCCAGGAACATCCAGCCGTGCGCTGAGGTCGTGGAAATAGAACATCATTACCAAAGGGGAACTTAGAGCTCCCCAGACAGCCTGCGGCTTCATAAGCAGGCACGCGGTGGTGGGCAGGGAGGGGCGGTGCATCTCTGTTTGATGGAAACTGAGGCACAGAAAGGTCAGGGAGCAAGATCAGAGGGTGAGGCATGGTGGGGCTGGCCGAACATCCAGGCACCTGTGACTCTCTAGCTTTCCTTTTTGGGGGGCAGGGCTTTCTCGGTGAGCTGTCCTCCTGGGGCTCCTCTTAGGAACGGCGGGCTGAGCCCACGAGTCCCCTCTGTTCTCCACGGGGGGCGGCCACCCTCAGCTGGAGGGCGCCTGTGCTGGACTCTGTTCCTGGGTCCCGCATCTTCCTCCTGCGCCCAAAACGGGCAGGAGGTCCTCCCCCGTGGCAGTTTACTGACTTCCAGGATATTTTCAGAGTAAGAAAGTAGTCATTGTCTGTTAAACCTCCCTGTCTCTGGTTTCATCTCTGGGCTGCAGGCTCACTTGGTTCGCAAACACACCCTCCCCAGCCCACCCATCGGTTTGCAGAGCCACTACCTTAGCACGTGTTCCCAGGACAGTGTCCCTGTTGTTGCATCACCTTCCAGGGACCCTCCCTGCCTCCAATGCACACAGCCCCGGCCACCTGGATGCCCTCTGACCAGAACACTTTGCCTGCTCCAGCACCCACCACCCTCCCAAAATCCGGCCCGACCCGTCTTTCGGGCTCTGCCTTCCCCGGGTCACATCGACTCCGAGCTCTGGCCAGACAGAGCCGCCCTTGCTCTGGTTCCTGGCCCTGAACTCAACTAGGCTTTGCTCACACGTTTGTTCTTCTGCAGCCCCGCTCCCCTCGCCTGCCCCCAGGCCTCTGTCCTCTCCCCAGTGACCCTCTCTCCTCCCAGTGCTTGACACCCCCAGAGTGCCTTCCCAGGGCACTTTTACCTAGAGCTCTGTAGCTGGGGGCATTTGCCTGTGGGATCTATCTCCCCTCTTGAACTTGAAGAGGCAACCTGGGGTCGGGACCTGTGCATCCTTCCTCCCAGGCCCCTCCGGAACCCCCAGCTCAGGGGCATGCACGTAATAAATCGTCAACAATTAGTTGTTGAATGAGCGAGCTATCTTTGCAGGGATTTGGGGGTGGGTAGAGGTAATGACCCTCCCAACGTGAAAGTGGTGTAAGCAAACAAACTGGTTATTTTTGCTGGGACATTGAGCTTCTCCAGAGACAATAACCCTCCCTCCTGAGCGTGGAGCTGGGCCACAGGGCTGGGAGGTGTGGGTTTGGATCCCAAGACTCCGACTTGTGGCTGTGCCGTCTTGAGGAGGTCACTGTGTTTTTTTCTAGAGGCAGGTGCACCGCTTTACCACATCACAAGGGCATCAGTGATCAGAGAACAGGGATGTCCTATAGTAGCTGCACATAGCAGAGCAGGAGGGGGGAAGGCGGATACTCATCCAAGGAGCCCATTGGGCAGCTACTTCCAGCTCCTTGAGAGTGGCTCCCAGGTATTTCCTCACGTTCGCCACCCTGCGCAAGTCCAAGGCCCGGCCCTGCTGAGCTGAATGCTGGACATTAAGCCCACAGACACACAGAACTGTCACCCTCTGGCACCAGCCCAGGGGCACCCCCAGAGTGTGCCTTACCTTGGAAGTGGACGTAAGTGTTGAAAAGTAGGGTGCTGTCTGGGCTGACTCCTGACAGGGGTCTGTCCATTTTCCACCCTGTCACTGCCTGCGTGAACCTGTTGATCTTCTCTGCAGCAAGATCCGGGTCCGTGGACAAGTCCAGAGAGCGCGGGAGGGTGATGGGGGCAAAGAGAGCCAGGCCCTGCACAAAGGGCTGCTTCAGGCGCAGGCCAGGGGCTGTGAACAGGCCCAGCACCGTGGAGAGGAGCAGTGTGGACTGGCCGTCAGCGCCGCCCTGGGCGACCAGAAGGCCCTGGATGGTCTGCAGGGCGGAGAGGACCTTGTGGCCGTCGAGCCGGGAGGTGCAGCCCTGGTCCTCCCCGGGGACGCCCAGGAACGTCTGCAGTCTGCTGGCCGTGGGGTCTAACGCACCCAAGTAGAGAGAGGCCAGCGTGCCAAAGAGAGTCGTTGGGGACAGGACGGTCCCTCCAGCCGTGCTCCAGGACTCGCTCAGCGCCCTGTACATGTGGAAGCCCAAGAAGTTGAGCATCATCCCCACTTTCGCGGCCCGCATCCTGTCTTCCTCCTCCTGCTTCTCAGTGGCCAGCACCAGATGCTCTCGAAGGGCCTGCTCGTCCACAGGGGACGTCTTGGCCTGAATCGGGACCGGCGTGAAGGTCGGGTCTTGGGGCATCTCCGTGTTGGATTTCTCCAGGTGCTCACAGCTGCTCTTGCTGTAGACGAGGAGGTGGAAGGGGTGTATGTACACCCGGTCCCCGGCGGCCAGGCCGGCCCAGGCCAGGACACAGAGGGCGGTGGCCCCCAGGCTCACCCCGGCAGGAGCCATCTCTGACGGGGGCGCTCACTTCCCTGAAACATCAGGTCACGAAGGGCGACAGATTACCAAGTGAGTAAGTGCCCTCCGGCCAGACTTTCAGCTGTTCCAATGTCCCCCGCGGTCATTTAATGCAGGAGAAATCTATCTGAGTCTACACATTTCGAAGAGAAGCAATAGAGTCAAAGCTCTGAGGAAAATATCTCTGTGATCCACAGCACACTGTTGCGGGCTGAGCTGGGCCTTTTGGGGGCTTATTTTGGGGTTGGTTTTGTTTCGTCTGATTTTTAGAATGGGGGGAATGTCTTGATACGAAGACATTGGCAGATTTTGAACAGAAATACGAAATTGTCCATTACGTCAAGTAAAAATGTACGCAAATGGGTTTTCACAAAATACTGTAAGCACTTCTCTTCAAGAATACGTGAATGGCTGATACTATTTTTTACCTTGTGCTAATCAGTGATATTATGCTTTAGTCAATAATTATATGTTTAATAAAGAGTAATATGGGGGGCGCCTCGGTGGCTCTGCCTTCGTCTCAGGTCATGATCTCAGCGTCCTGGGATCGAGCCTTGGGTCTGGCTCCCTGCTCAGCGGGGAGCCTGCTTCTCCCTCTCCGTACACCTCCCAGCCCACTTGTGCTTGCTCTCTCTCTCTCTCTCAGATAAATAAATAAAACCTTTTTTTTAAAAAGAGTAATATGGAAACATTTAATCTTATTTTAAAGGAACTTTAATTTTAAAATTTAAAAAAAAATTTCCCTTGTTGCCTTAAAGTTGTTAACTTCATATGTTGATGCCCTAAATCCCACTACTTCAAAATGTACTATATTGGGAGACAGAGTCTTTAAAGAGGTAATTTAGGTTAAACGAGGTCATTGGGATGGGCCCTCATCCAATCTGACTGGTGTCCCTTTTAAAAGAGGAGATTAGGACACAGACACACACAGATGGAAGACCCTGGGAAGACAGAAGATGGCCATCTACAAGCCAAGGAGAGAGACCTCAGAAGAAGTCAAACCTGCCAACACCTTGATCTCAGACTTGCAGCCTATGTGTGACATGAAGGTTATCCCAGAAGAAGCGCTTCAGTACTTGTCGCCTCCCGAATCATGAGAGGACAGATTTCTGTCGTTGGAGTGACCCAGTCTGTGGGACTTTGATAAGGCAGCCTGAGCAAACTCAGGCAATCACATGCCCCTGGCTGTGAGTTTTCCCCTAGAAAACCAGTCGTGGACCAGACCGCCAGTCTCCAGGAGGCCTCCTGGCCCCAGGATAGGTGGGTAACCAGTTTGGAATACAAGACTAACACACACAGAGGTTTTTCCTATGTTACAAATTGGCCTGGCAAGAAAGATGGAACTGTGTAGTATCAACCAGGAAATGTACATCTCATTTCCCAGACAAGGTGCATAATTTAAGAATAGAGATATTATAACTGGGTAGTATGTGAGAGTTCCCAGAAACCCCCGCCCATAGATTACCCAGTCTAGTCCTTGCGCTATTCAGGCAAGGAAGGAAGTGTTTCACGTCTTTGCAGACACAGGAGGGGGTGGTTCTGAGGCATGAAGAAAAGTTCCCGAGCTCACACAGCAAGCGTGTAACAGACGCAATTCAGACCTGCGTTTATTCTCACCGGTCAGTCCCAGCCCCGGTTCCCATTGGTCTCACCTGGGAAGCCCTAGAGGCTGTGGAAGTCTGTCTCACCCCCAGAGATGTCAGTTAAAATGGCCCTGGGGTGTGGCCTGGGAATGGATTTTTCAGCCTCCCCATGGCCTTACCAGATAGCTAGCACTGAGCACCAGAGGCTCAGCCTAAAGCCCTGGTGTTTCCACCTGTCTCAACGCCTCAAACCAGCCGACAACTATTTCTTACATGGTGGAGCCCCCATGGAGCTCAACACCAGCCTCACCAACGCCTCTCACCAATAGCTGATGGTGTTGGTCTGTGCTGGGGCCGGGTATTGATTTTTTTTTTTTTTAAAGCTTCCCAGGTGAGTCTGATGCGCAACCATGGAGTAGAACAATCCTCTGCCCTTGATGTGGGTCTCTAGGGTTGGCAGGAGCACCCTTCTCTAGAGCCCTGAGATTTTGCTCCAGCCTCATGTCTGGCCAACAGCACACGGAGTAGCCTGAGGTCCTGGAAGACAAGGTTCTTGGGCTGGCTCTGCTAACTTATTCCACTGTCTAACTCTTGACATTTGAGGGGGATCCATGTTCATTGTATGGTTTCATTCGGTTCCAATCATCTCCATGATATCTCACTCATTTCTTTTTGTTTTTTTTAAAGATTATTTATTTATTTATTTGGCAGAGAGAGACACAGCGAGAGAGGGAACACAAGCAGGGGGAGTGGGAGAGGGAGAAGCGGGCTTCCCGCAGAGCGGGGAGCCTGATGCGGGGCTCGATCCCAGGACCCTGGGATCATGACCTGAGCTGAAGGCAGATGCTTAACGACTGAGCCACCCAGGCACTCCCGATATCTCACTCATTTCTGGTGAAGACGTGGACTGCATTACCAACTTAGTTCTTCGTGCTCCCATCCTAATCCTCAGGCATCCCTGGAACCGAGGTATGTCTCCACTAACTCAAGGTCACCTTGACACCACCGTCTTTCCAGCACATCTACGCATACCCAGTTATCCCCTTCTGTTGACAGCTTGCACTCCTCTCCCGGGTCTGGTAACCTGCACCTGCTTTCAACTTCAAAGCGTTGTGTGTTTAGTTCTGCTCTGGTCATCAAATACCAAAGGAACTTTGACTTCTGACCTCGGCCACCGCGTCACCCTCCTCCCCGCGCATTTGACTCAACCACTGTTCTCATGAGAAGCCACACAACATACAAAAATGGAACAGAAAGTTCTCCGTCCTGTCCAGACAGGCCTCTGTTGCCTGCTCATGCCTCGTGTAAAAAGCCAAAGCACACTGAGTTATCAGGGGAAACTTGCAGAAGCCGAGGGCTGGAGAAATCTTACAGTAACGGCACCCAGGCCCGGGCTGGGGCCATGCAGATGAGGACAGCCCCCTCCCTGCTTTGCCAGTCCCGCCTGGCGCGGGCACCATGTGGGGTGAAGCAATTCCACGATCGTGTCGGGGCAGAGACTGCTGTTGTTCTCAGCCGGGATCAGCAGCCGCTGTGCTGGCTGGTCCTAAGTCAGCGTACACCTGGGGCCTGAGAATAAATGGGGGCTCCAGGCACCTGTGGATCTGCCCTCCTCCACCAGCCCTGCTCAGTCTCCCTCTCCACCTCCCCGCTTCTCGGTGTCCCTACTCCTCGTGGTTCCGTAGCCTCCTGAAATGGTGAGATCGGCAGCCGACACTGTTCTCATGCCTATATGGCCAGGCAGTGTTCCTGAGCTTTCCGTGGACCGACTCATCTCATCCTGCTAAGGCTTCCATGACACCCCATTTCACACTGCAACTGTCCCCACCACGCCTGCCACCCTGAACTCACTTACCCCGCTTTACTTCCTTTCACCATGGCACTGACCACCTTATGACCTCATAAATAATTAATTCTAATGTATTTATTTATGTTTAGTGTTTATTGCTGCTCTCTTCCCACGTGAAGGCAAACCTTGTGAGAGTGGGGTCCTTGCTCTGTTTTGTTCGCTATATATATATATGTATATATATATACCACATTTCCAGAAATGTTCCTGGGACATGGTAGGCACTTGATAAATAATTGTTAAGTGGATTAATTAATGCTATTTTGCAGAGGAACAGAGAGGTTCCGTGACTTGCTCAAGGTCACACAGCTAAGTGAGAGACAGGACTAGGATTCAAACCCAGACCCCCTATGCCATAGTCCACACGCTTCAGCACCCATCTATAGTGCCTCTTGAACAAAATAATAAGAATCTGTCTTTTTAGTTTCTCCTAAAGTTTAAAGAAAGCACTTTCACATTCTATTAGCTCTCTTAATTTACACCATAGTTCAGGAGCAAGGGAGGCCAGGCATTGCTATTTGTCCCATTTTATGGATGAGCAAACCAAGGCTCAGGGATACAAAGTGATGAGTTGAGGGCACCCAAACCTTGAACCCAGGACCAGAGGCAGCACTGCCTCAGGAGAGGTTCAGGGAGACAGACGCAGACCACCCTCACCTGAGCCTCTGCGGACGCAGCCCCGGGCTAACTGAATCTGCTCCCCGACCCTCCTCCTGGCTCCGGCACCTGCGCAACAAGCCTGGCGCTTCCTTCTGACTGGAAGAGACCCGTGGACTCTAGGCCACTGTGGCTCTGCTCCTGTACTGGCCCCCGAGAACCGAGCCCTGCTCAGAGGCATCGGGAGGACCGGGCCACCCTGCCCTACTGCTGGGGAGGGGCAGTTCCTCTGCTAAGACCTGGGGTGGGCTGAGGGGGAGGACAGCCCATGACAGGACATCCAGTGTGACAGGAGGGGAGAGACGTCTTCTGCGTCGTCTTCAGTAGTGATCCCCCCTGCAGCGCATGTCACCACTGACCCCTGGCTTCTGGCTCCCAGCAGATAGCTGCCCTGAAAGAGTTAGGGAGGGGGCAGCGGCAGGGGAGGGGTGTGGATGGAGAGAGGCTCCCCACTTACCTTCTGCTCGAGTCCCCAAAACAAGAACAGCCTCTTCCCCTGGCTGGGCCACCGAGGCCCTATTTATATCAGAGGGGTGGGGATGGAGCGGTTCCCAGACCGTTCTGTGCCCAAGCTGGGGAGGAGGGAGGTGACATCACTTGGCCCCGCCAGGGGGGTGGGGGCCTCAGGCAGCCAGGCCTGACCGGGGGACAGGCGCCAGAGCAACTCTCAGGCTGGGACTCCTTCCAGGAAGTCAGGGTGATCGATACACACTTTCAGTGCCAAACAGAATGAGCCGGTACGCTGTTGAGTTACACATTTACCCGAGTTCACCTCACTGGGGCCACGGTGACGGACATGGGGGCATCCCACGTAGGTGTGTGGAGGTGTGTGATGGGTCTCTGCCCTGAGGTGTGACAGCCACCCAGGCCTTCTGACAGAGCCCTCTTGAGGTGTGCTTCCGAGAGTCCCCAAGAACATGCTTGAGTTCCCAGTGGGCAGGGGAAGGAGCAGTGGAGGGTGGCCTGGGGGCGACTTCTGACCCCTCGGCCTTGACCGGCTTAATGGTTGTCCAAACAACCTTTAGGCACCTGCTCCCTGAGAGGCCCTCTGACGGGCGTGGGGAGAGACACACAACCAAGCAGAAGTACCTTCTAGAGACTCGTGATTTAGCTGGGGAGACTGCTAGACGCCAACAATGGTACAGACAGACAGAAAGGCACCGACCAGATGCTTTCAGATCCTGGGAAGGAACAACTGTTAAAACTGGGGAAGGTCTCGGGAAGAAATGTCATTTCAGTCAAAGCTGGAAGGATAAATAACTTGGGCTTGGATGCTGAAGAAGCGATCTATACAGGCTTATAGGATAGTAACAGAGTGGGAGGAAAGTGTGGAGCTTGTTTAGGGGACACCAGCACCCTTAAAGATGCTATGAGGGAGAGCAGGGATCACAGCAAATGGCCGCTGCTCCCTGTGCCTGCCCCCATAGCCGAGGAGGGTGCCCCGTCTTCCCTGAGTGTCCCCTGGACACAGGGCTTCAGGCCAAACTCTCCAGGATCCGAGCCGACGCATGAGACGAAACCTGCTTGCCACCGCAGACCTGGGGCATGGGACCGAGTGATGTGGAAAGAAAGGGTGCTGGTTAGAGTCTGAATACCAGCTCCGAGGTCAAAGTTGATGCCACGGGAGGGAGGGATGGAAGATGTCTGAGTGGGGGAATGCCATGAAGCCTGATTTCTGCTTTTACAAATGTCCTTTAATTGTGACGGGCATCAGATACACAAGCTCCAGCCCGGAGAGGATGCTGAAACCAATAACCAAGAGTGGGACCATGGAAGCACAAGAACTCTGGGGAAGCAATGGGAAGAGTTTGATCTTGGATGGGTTTCTTTCAAGCATCTACTGGACCCCAGTGGGGAATACTCAGGTAGACGATCCCTGCCCTCAGGACAGAGATCTGGGCGTGAGACACAGATGTGGGGCGCTAATGCATCATGGGGGAATTCAAGCCTGTGGGGGGAGATGTCCCCCATCCCACCCTGAGAAGAGTTAGAAATGAGGAGAGGGGAGAAGAGGGCAACCTAGGGAGGTGGGGGATGGGAAGGGAGTCAGCGCAGGAGGGGGGTGGGGGATGGGTAGGCTACAAGACACAGGGGGTGGTGTTCCAGAAGCCGAGGAGAGTTCTGAGAGGTGAGGAGTTAGGGCCCAAAGGAGGCCCTTTGGGCCGCATGCCAGCACGGCTTCAAGTCATTGGTGTGGAGATGTCTCCACCCAGAGCATTCTTGGTTGATCACTTACCAACTCTTTATTGCTCATCAAAGACCATGAAGTGGAGGGTAGGAGTCCCGAGGGAGCTGTAGAGCAGCCTCGGGGAAGGACGAGGGAGGGGCCTGGCTGAGATGGTTTGAAAAGCCAATGGAAGATTGAATTGTGAACTCCTCTTTAACGATTGTGGTAATGAAGGGGTGCAGGGACTGGAAAACTCTGTATTCTCAACTCCCAGGTAGAAGGAAGAAAGAATTCATATTTAATTGAGCAGCTTGTTAAAAATCAAAATTCTACCAAGCAAATGTGTAGATGTGATGAGCTTTATTAAATGATTCATGAATCAGGCATGACTCATGGAGCTCAGAGGGGAGCTCCACTGAGCAAAACAAAAGAAAGGTTTTTAAAGGCAGAGGGAGGGCATGCCAACAGCAAATAGAGGAATTTATTAGCAAGAGCAAGGAGTGCATTGTTTAGGCAACGTTGGCCTCCCAAAGGGAGTGGAAGGGGTCTCTCAGTAAATTTCCTGATATCGCCCAGAAAATTCCATGTTATCTAGTGAAAGGTCACGTTCCTGGGGGGATCGAAACTGCAGTTCAGTTAGGTGTTAAGTCTTGGTTTGCGGAGGTAGCCTAAGTGACACCATTTTGGGCCTGTGGTTTTCTTTCTAACATGCGGCTCCATGCCCGGTGCATTAATCTTCTTAGAGGTCTGCAGTGCACATTTTAGTGCACCTGCTGTCATCCAGGGAGAGAAAACTGAGGCCCCAAGATGTTCAGCGATTTGCTAAACATCACCCAGAAAGAACATGGTGAATCCAGGTCTGACACCCACACCTGTTCTTTTCCTAGCACATTCAGGCATTTGTCTGACAACTATTTTTCGAAAGTCTACTGTGGGCCAAGAATTGAAGTTCAATGTCTGATCATGAGTCTTAGCCCAGCTGTCCAAAGAATAGCAAATATTTCACAGAAATGACAGTATCAAGGGGCAGGAGGACATCTGCTGTCTAGACAAACCATACCACACACATATTTCTTAAAATAGTGAAGTTTGGGGGAGGGATCCTGAACCCCAAATATGTACAAAACTAGATTTTACCATATAATCTCAAAATAGCCCAACACAATGGGTAAACAAACCAAGGCATGAAGAGTTGCATCATGGGACCACAGAACTGGGAGGAGCCTCCCAATTGTACCACGCTTAGATCCGATCTATGCAAACCATGGGCTAGAGCACCTTCTTTTTAATGTTCTAAGTTCCCTGGTGTCTGGGACTGGTAGGGTGACAGGGTCATGACCTGTGTCGTCCCCGGTTCCTGTTTCTCCCCCATTAAGACACTCCCTCACTTTCTACACATTCCCCGCATTGCATCGGGGGGTAACCAGATGTCTGAGTAGCTCTAGGACTCTTGCCTGTGGAGCATCCTAGTTTCAGAAGGGCAGTCTGCTCACCAGATCACTCTTTCTGGCTGGCACAACGTTTCACTGATAATAAAGAACAGGGTCACGTAAGACGGGGCTGTCAGGATGGTACTGATGTGCTGCTTTTGAGACTTCAGAGCTCTGAGTTACCACGAACCTTGGGCTTGGGCCATATGTGGGCCTATGCATCTGTCTCATCCACCTGTATGCCATGTATCTTTTCGGCTCTACAGTGCCTCAGGGTGTGGATGGCAGCAGGCATCCTTCTTCCTGTGGACCCCCTGCCTTCCACAGGCTCTGTGTCAGCTGGTCCTCCAGGGGTGGTTTTCCTCTCCCTTCCAAGGCCTTTCAAAATCAATGCCCATTCACTAACTTGTCCCTCTGATAGATGCCCTCTCTTGTCTCAAATCAATGCAGTAACATCGTGCTCTCTGGGGTGGGCTCCTGCCATGGCAGAGGAGAGACAGACATCCCTTGGGACAATGAGACACCCCCCCGCCCTTTCCCTCACACTGCCCTATAAGTAAGCCTTGCATTTGTGGTCGTCATCAACAAAGGACAGGGCAACTTTGTTGAGTTGTTGGAAGCCAGCATTCCCAGAGGGCATGACGGAGGACATAGCTTCCGGAGTGTCAGGAAAGGGAGGCCTGGACTGTCTCGACACTAACAGGCTGGAGGAGCCACGGGACGTTCGCTGTGGCAGATAGGAAATTATCCAGGAATGGCACATTTGACAATAAAGAACAGAAAGAATCTTGACATTCCCTGATTAGACAGTAGGGACTTAAGTACCTCTTCTCTAATCACTATTCTAAATCTTCATTTAAAAAAATCACTGTATCTCACATGGGCCCATGAATTCTGTCACATAATTTTATAATTATTTTGCTCATATAGACAATTTCCCCTCAAAGGTTACTTGTCTGTGGCCCCACACAGCTTAGTGGTGGCCTGGCCTCAAGGAAACATCCGATGTGTCTCTCCTCTGAGTGGCCCCCCCCGCCCCACTCCCTAGACCCAGGCCACCTCTGCCCAGTCCGTGAGCTTCTGCAAACCATGCTCGTGAATGCCCTTGAGTGATTTCCTCCCCCTTCTTTCAAGTTTTTCAGCCCGGAGAGTCCCTGTCACACAATTACAGTTTTAGTATATTTGAAAGCAGCTTCTCAGGGATTACAACACATTTCAAAGTTCATTTCAAACTCGTTACAAGGTAGAGAGAGGCCTCTAAGCCGACATTACTCTCTTAGTAACGACATGTTATTGGGGAAAAAATAAGGAAGCAGTCATCGTTAAGTGGGACACAGTAAAGGATTTCGGCTTCGACTTCTTGCAAGATTGGTTTAAGGCCGTTAATCAGTTCCCAAGGCTGACTATGAGCTGGATGGATTTTCGATGCTGGGCTTTTAAGCTCATTAAAATAAATCAGAAAATTGCTAGAGCATTTGATCAAGACTGTAAATTATTCCCAGAAGCAACAGCCACTCAAACAGGCTACCGACATTTGACCCGGTACAGATTTAGGACAATTTTCTTTCTAATAGGTACCATTTCTTGTGTCCACTCCATAAATGGAAGTTAGGGACAGTCTATCTGCGGCTAAATGAAGACTGTGGAATGAACAGCACGTACTGGCTGTGGATACTGAGTAAGCCATCCTTCAGAACGGGGTCCATGAACCCAGTCATGGGTAGGAGGCAGCGCTGGGCCACAGTGATGTATTGGTGAGGGGGTTCTCCTCAGGCTGACGCTACTGGAGGTCAAGTCCACCCCGTGGTTACGGAGATGAGGCTCCCGCTTTCCCATCTCTTGACCAACCAGCCAGCCATGGGACAAACACACACAAACTCCTACTCTAAAGCAAGACAAAGCCAAACTGGGGAACTAGGCGATGCTTTATTGATGTACGTGATGCAATCGGACTCTGAGGCT